AAGTGATGAAAGGAGGAAACTTAGAACTTCTTAGTTCTAATATAGAATACTATATCTAATAGTATTCTTATACTCAATGCCACGAGGCTCTCGTTCAGATTTGATGGAGAAACCAAAAGCTTCACAAACAAAAGCTAAAAGATTTCAGCACCACCAAACCACCTTTACAACAAATGTTAAAGGAACTTCTCTAGTCATCAAACTGTAAGAAAAGAGAACAAAAAGTAGAGAAAAAAAAAAAAGACCTACAAGAGATTGCTTTGGCTGTTCCGGGCCTTTTATGGTCCCATACAAATTTTGGGAATTGTTCGTTCTAGTTCTGTAAAAAATGTATTTTGACAGGAGTTGCACTGGATCTGTAGATTGCTTTGGGTAGTACGGCCATTTTGATAAGGGTGATTCTTCCAATCCTAGAGCACAAGGTATCTTTCCAATTTTTTGTATCTTCAGTTTCTTTCATCAATGGTTTTACAGTTTTCAGAGTACAGGTATTCTCCTTGGTTGAGTTTACGTCTAGGTATTTTATTGTTTTTGATGCAATGGAAATATTTATACCAGGTATAAAATTCTGGTTTTTGAAGTGAAAAGAAAAAAAAGTAAATGAAGGACTGCAGATGATACAATATTTTTCTTTTTTATGGGTGAGTTGTATTCCACTACATATATATGCTGCATTGTCTTTATCCACTCATCTATTGATGTGCACTTGGGATGCTTCCATACCTTGGCAATTATAAATAATATTGTCATTAATAGGAGGGTGTATGTATCTTTTTGAATTAATTCTTATTTTGTGGTTGGCTTTATTCCTTTGATAGAGACGTAAGTTTAAAAACCTAAAGCTCTAACATCCTTGGAAACAAACAGTACATACACGTAAGTTTTTCAAAATATGGGTATATTGGATATATGTATTTACATGCAATGCATTGTTATGTGCAAATTGTAACCATTCTACCTCATAAAACTGAAAAATGAAAAAACTGTCTAAAATCAAAGACAAAAAAGAATTTTAAAAGCAGCAAGGGGAAAAAGAAAGTTCATACATACAAGGAAAGTTCCGTAAGAAATGAATTTCCCGCAAGCTTACCTGAGCCATGGCTCCAGCAGGGCCCACGGGGAACAGGAGAGCAAACGCAGGGTTGGCAGGGGGAGAATAGAACTGAGCGCGCGGGCCGGAGGAACAGGGCCCCGGCCTGGCTTCCCGTCGCTCCGCATCCACCGCCCTCGTCACACGGTCCAGGCCCCGTCACAGCCCCGTCACAGCCCCGTCCCGCCACGGCGCGGGCTCCGAGCCCGGAGCTGACCCGCGCGCAGCGCCACCCCCCTTAACGGGCCCAGCTTGGGTCTTCCACCTGCGCGCCGGCCCGGCAGCCCTGGTGTCCGCGAGCTCGGGATGGAGCCGAGCCCAGCGCACTCCGGCGTGACTCGGGCAGGGCGGGCCCTCACCTACCCCGGCCCGCGCGGTCAAGTTCTCGGCTCTGCGATAGGGACCCGGCGACAGCGCCCCGCAAACCGCGCCCTCCAGAGCCTCAGGGACCAACCGCCACTAAGCCGCGGGCCTGGAACAGCTTTGCTACCCAGGGTCCACCGCAGCCTCCGCGCGGACGCCCCCACGTACTACAACTACCAGGACGCCCCGCGCGCAGAAGGCGCAGCGCGCGGGCCCCGGGCAGCCACACTTTCCAGGGGCCACCGCGGCCTCTGCGCAGGCGCCCCGCGCACAACTTCCAGGACGCCCCGTGCACAGGAGGCGCAGCGCCTGGGCCACGGGAAGCCACACTTCCCAGGTTCCACCGCGGCCTCCGCGCAGGCGCCCGGCGCACAATTCCCAGTACGCCCCGCGCGCACAAGGCGCAGCGCGCGGGCCTCGGGCAGCCACGCTTCCCAGGGTCGACCGCGGCCTCAGCGGGAGGCCAGGCCCTCCGCACTCACAGGACTACAACTCCCAGAACCGACTGCAGCCCAGCACTTCCATCCAGGGCCTCCAACCCTGACAGCCGTCGTGACGGGCGGTACCGCCGTCGCACAGGGCCGCAATTCCCAGTTCGTGGAACCTGCGGTGTGCACAGCCCGCGAGTCTTGGTGTCCTGCGCTCCCTAAGCGCGGTGGGCTCGGTCCCGGGCGTGTGGCGGAGGTTTGGGGACCTGCTCTTTACCAGCTCGTGATCGAGTGGGGCAGGATAGGGCGAGACTTTGGGTGGAGATGGGAGGGTCAGGAGCGCGTCAGGCCCGTCGCAACCGGGAGCAGTGTCCAGGTGGAGGGACAATTGTGAGTTTGTGTGAAAGGTAGACTGAGGAAAGAAAAACAGCCCGTGACAAGCACTGAAAGAGAAAAAAGGAAGAAATTAATTCGCTGGCCCGGTGAAAAGCGGTCCAGGGAGAAGCGGTATGAGAGCAGACTGGAAAGTACGCAGGGCCTCGCGCCCACTGTGCAGAAGGAAAACACGGTTTATTTCCAGGAGGTGTGACGTCCTCTTGGCGGTACAGGGCACAGCGCTTGGGTGAGATGTCTGCAGCAGGCCGTTCCTTCAAACCTCATCTACCAGTTTCTCACCTGCTCATGACCAGCTCGACGATACCACGGATGACTTCCCCAGATCTCTTCGTTAATCACTTTATTTCATTAAGATGATAAACACAAGAAAAGACAAATTTAGGAAAGAAGTGGATTCGTCTGGGGACATGTTGAGAGTGACGTGTGTCTGTTTAATCTTAACTACTAAGCTTGTCCAAACTATTATTTCTCACCCGCAGTCTTGTGTAGCTCCACCATTTTCTCCAAATCTTCTCTTCATTCAGAATTCGGCCTGATGTTTATAAAAGCATTTCCAAACATACTCCTCTGCTTGACATGATTTGATAGCTTTTGATTGCCCTGAAGCGAAGGCAAAGTCCTTCACATGGTCCCTGAGGCTGTGCGCGACCTCACCCGTCTTTTCTCCGGCTCTTGCATTGCTTTCCTCCTCTGGCCGAGCTGACTGTTTCCCCAGTGGCCGCGAGAATGTGCTCCACCCCCGAAGAGGTTGTAGGTGCCTTCACAGTACGACTTGATCAGGGCATTTCAATTTATCTCATATTTCAACTCAAGCAACTTATTTTTTGAAGATAGGTTCTCTGATTCCAGTGTGATCTCTGAACAAGGCTCCTTTGGTTGTAAACTCTCATGGGATCTACACTTTCGTTATCACTTAAAATAATTTGCAATTATGTTTGTAAGTATTTATGTGTATTCATGATTATCTGTCTCGCTAGGTTCCAAGCATTATGAATCTAAGACTGTTTTGTGCAGAGTGAGGATTCAATGAATGACAAATGGATATTATCAAAGTTTAACTTTGTCGTATGTTGAGTTAAAACATCTTGTTTGAATTTACTTTTCATGAGAATAAACAAATCTGTTTATTGACTAGTTCTTATTTCTCTGCTGTGAAATACCTGTTCATATCCTCTGCCTATTTTTCTATTAGGATCCCTGTGTTTTTATTATCGTTTTTATTATTGGGGGGATAATTAGGTTTATTTAATTTTCAATGGAGATACCGTGGATTGAACTTAGGACCTCATTCATGCTAAGCATGCGCTTTACCACTGAGCTATACCCCTTCTCCCGTGTTTTTATCATTGATTTGTAGTTCTTTGTGTGGTGGGATTTTATAACTTTCATATCTATCTTGCAGATACAGCATATTCTCACAAGACATCACTTGTATTTTGTCTTAGTATGTAGTAGGACTGTGTGTGTGCGTGTGCGCATGCGCGCACGCACGTGCATGCTGTACTTTGAAATTTTATGCAGTCCAATCTGTGTCTTTTCCCGTCAGACTTCCGAATTTCTCTCATTTAGAAAGAGTATCCACATAGTAAGTTTTTAAATATATCCTAAAACCCACAAACTTTTGGTCAATTAATCTTTGACAGAAGAAGCAAGAACATACAATGGAGTAAAGACAGTCTCTTCAGCAAATGGTGTTGGGAGAACTGGACAGCTGCAGGTAAATAAATGTAGTTAGAATACTCCCTCACACCATACACAAAAATAAACTCAACATGGCTTAAAGACAGAACATGCTAAACCTCTCAGACTGAAACATAGGCAAAACATTATCTGACATAAATCTCAGCAATGTTCTCCTAAGGCAGTAGAAATAAAAGCAGGCAATAGAAATAAAAGCAAAAATAAACAAAGGGGACCTAATTAAACTTAAAAGCTTTTGCACAGCAAAGGAAACCATAAGCAAAACAGACAATCTACAGAATGGGAAAAAATATTTGCAAAAGATGAGACTGACAAGGGCTTAATCTCCTGAATATATAAACAGCTTACACAACTTAACAAGAAAAATACAAACAATCCAATCCAAAAATGGGAAGACCTAAACAAGCAATTCTCCAGTGAAGACATACAAATGGCCAACAGGCACATGATAAAATGCTCAATATCACTAATTATCAGAGATACGCAAATCAAAACTACAATGAGGTATTACCTCACACCAGTCACAATGGTCATCGTTCAGAAGTCCACAAAAGATAAATGTTGGAGAGGGTGTGGAAAAAAGGGAACCCTCCTACACTGTTGGTGGGAATGTAGTTTGGTGCAGCTGTTATGGAAAACAGTATGGAGATTCCTCAAAAAGCTAAAAACAGACTTACCATATGATCCAGCAATCCCACTCCTGGGCATATAACCGGAGGGAACCTTAATTCAAAAAAGACACCGCACCCCAATGTTCATAGCAGCACTACTTACAATAGCCAAGACATGGAAAAACACCTAAATGTCCGTTGACAAATGATTGGATAAAGAAGTGGTGGTATATTTATACAATGGAATGCTACTCAGCCATAAAAAATAATAAAATAATGCCATTTGCAGCAACATGGATGGACCTAGAGATTCTCATTCTAAGTGAAGTAAGAGAAAGAAAATACCACATATCACTTATATGTGGAATCTGGGGTAGGGGGGAGACAAACGAACTTATTTACAAAACAGAAACAGACTCACGGGCATAGAAAACAAACTTATGGTTACCAGTGGGGGAGGGGGTGAGAAGGGATAAACTGGGAGTTTGAGATCTGCAGACACTAACTACTATATATATATAAATAGATAAACAACAGGTTTATACTGTATAGCACAGGGAACCATATTCAATATCCTGTAGTAACCTATGGTGAAGAAGACTATGAGAACAAATGTATGTATGTTCCTATGTGACTGAAGTATCGTGCTGTACACCAGAAATTGACACAACATTGTAAACTAACTGTACTTCAATAAAAATATATAAAATAATAATAAAAAAATATACCCTAGATGGGTGGGGATACTCAGTGGTAGAGCTCATGCATGAGGTCCTGGGTTCAACCCCTAGTACCTCCATCAAAAATAAATAAATTTTTTAAAATAAATAAGATAAAAATAAGATTAAAAGTTTAAAAATTATAAAGTAAAATAAAATATACCCTATATTCTTCTACTAGTAAATCTTCTGTCTGGGTCTCTTTCAGGACCCTCTGTTTTGTCTCCCTGATCTGGCCATCTGTTCCTTACATATCAGACTGTTTTAATTACCAGAGCTTTCTGATACGGCATGTCTCCTCTTACCCTCTTCTCTAATTTTTCCAGGTTAGTCTTATGACTTTGCCTCTCTGGACAAGTTTTAGAATAATCTTGCCTTATTCCTACAGAAAATTCACTGGGTATTCGGTGTGAAGAGAGAAACAACATGTTTCCTATAAGGGAACAGTTAAATGTCAGTGGATTCTCATCTGGAGTCATACAGGCCAGGAGATGGCACAACCTTTTTCAAGTACTGAAAAAAATACTGTAGTTCTTAATTCTATATCTTAATTATTAATCCTATACCTTAATTCTGTATCTAGCAAAATACTCTTCAGAAATGAAGGGGAAAGAAAGACCTTAAAGATGATGAAGACCTTCAGATGAATGAAAACTAAGATTTTGTCACCAGCAGGCCTAACCCTGAAGACTGACTAAAGGAAGTTCTATAATTATAAAGGGGATGATAATAGGAGGCGGGTTAGGTGAAAAAAAAACTTAAAAAGAAAAAAAATTGTGGTATACTTATATAATGGACTAATACTCAGCCGTAAAAAGAATAAAATAATGTCATTTGCAG